TGTCACAAATACTTAGCCTTATCTCTATGATTTTGCGTTTTCAGCGAAAATAGAGCACTTTTAGCGTAAATACAGTGTATTTTAGTGATTAGGCAATCATCCCTTGATAGTTTTAAACCAGCGCCTGAAGACAAGTTTTAGAACTCGGTAAGATCTTTCCAACGAGATATTAAACTCTTTCAACGGCACAAAATAGAGCAAGATGTGATCGCATCAAATTCTACACGAGTTCGGAGTGAAATCAGAAACATTTGTGAATATATGGTTAATCTGTAACTTTTAATTAATGCATTGTAAATGAAGTTGAAATAATAGATTTAGAGCTCCGATCTATCTTTCCTACGAGATATAATACGATCCAAACGGATAAACACACAGCCAGATATGAGTGTCACAAATACTTAGTCTTATCTAAATGATTTAGCGTTTTCAGCGAAAATAGAGCACTTTTAGCATAAATACAGTGTATTTTAGTAATTAGGCAATCATCCGTTGATATTTTGAAACCCGCGCCTGAAGACATGTTTTAGAACTCGGTAATATCTTTCCAACGAGATAATAAACGCTTTCAACGGCACAAAATAGAGCAAGATGTGATCGCATCAAATTCTACACGAGTTCGGAGCGAAATCAGAAACATTTGTGAATATATGGTTAATATGTAACTTTTAATTAATGAATTGTAAATGAAGTTGGAACAATAGCTTTAGAGCTCCGATCTATCTTTCCAAAGAGATATAATACGATCCAAACGGATAAACACACAGCAAGATATGAGTGTCACAAATACTTAGCCTTATCTCTATGATTTAGCGTTTTCAGCGAAAATAGAGCACTTTTAGCGTAAATACAGTGTATTTTAGTAATCGTGAAATCATCCCTTGATATTTTGAAACCCGCGCCTGAAGAAAAGTTTTAGAACTCGGTAAGATCTTTCGAACGAGATATTAAACGCTTTCAACGGCACAAAATAGAGCAAGATGTGATCGCATCAAACTCTACACGAGTTCGGAGTGAAATCAGAAACATTTGTAAATATATGGTTAATCTGTAACTTTTAATTAATGCATTGTAAATGAAGTTGGAACAATAGATTTAGAGCTCCGATCTATCTTTCCAACGAGATATAATACGCTCCAAACGGATAAACACACAGCAAGATATGAGTGTCGCAAATACTTAGCCTAATCTCTATGATTTTGCGTTTTCAGCGAAAATAGAGCACTTTTAGCGTAAATACAGTGTATTTTAGTAATTAGGCAATCATCCCTTGATATTTTTAAACCAGCGCCGGAAGACAAGTTTTAGAACTCGGTAAGATCTTTCCAACGAGATATTAAACTCTTTCAACGGCACAAAATAGAGCAAGATGTGATCACATCAAATTCTACACGAGTTCAGAGTGAAATCAGAAACATTTATGAATATATGGTTAATCTGTAACTTTTAATTAATGCATTGTAAATGAAGTTGGAATAATAGATTTAGAGCTCCGATCTATCTTTCCTACGAGATATAATACGATCCAAACGGATAAACACACAGCAAGATATGAGTGTCACAAATACTTAGCCTTATCTTTATGATTTTGCGTTTTCAGCGAAAATAGAGCACGTTTAGCGTAAATACAGTGTATTTTAGTAATTAGGCAATCATCCCTTGATATTTTTAAACCAGCGCCGGAAGACAAGTTTTAGAACTCGGTAAGATCTTTCCAACGAGATATTAAACTCTTTCAACGGCACAAAATAGAGTAAGATGTGATCGCATCAAATTCTACACGAGTTCGGAGTGAAATCACAATCATTTGTGAATATATGGTTAATCTGTAACTTTTAACTAATGCATTGTAAATGAAGTTGGAATAATAGATTTAGAGCTCCGATCTATCTTTCCTACGAGATATAATACGATCCAAACGGATAAACACACAGCAAGATATGAGTGTCACAAATACTTAGTCTTATCTAAATGATTTAGGGTTTTCAGCGTCAATAGAGCACTTTTAGCGTAAATACAGTGTATTTTAGTAATTAGGCAATCATCCCTTGATATTTTTAAACCAGCGCCTGAAGACAAGTTTTAGAAATCGGTAAGATCTTTCCAACGAGATATTAAACTCTTACAACGGCACAAAATAGAGCAAGATGTGATCGCATCAAATTCTACACGAGTTCGGAGTGAAATCAGAAACATTTGTGAATATATGGTTAATCTGTAACTTTTAATTATTTCATTGTAAATGAAGTTTGAAAAATAGCTTTAGAGATCCGATCTATCTTTCCAACGACATATAATACGCTCCAAACGGATAAACCCACAGCAAGATATGAGTGTCACAAATACTTAGCCTAATCTCTATGATTTAGCGTTTTCAGCGAAAAGAGATCACGTTTAGCATAAATACAGTGTATTTGAGTAATCAGGCAATGATTCCTTGATATTTTGAAACCAGCGCCTCAAGACAAGTTTTAGAACTCGTTAAGATCTTTCCAACGAGATATTAAACGCTTTCAACGGCACAAAATAGAGTAAGATGTGATCACATCAAATTCTACACGAGTTCGGAGTGAAATCAGAAACATTTGTGAATATATGGTTAATCTGTAACTTTTAATTAATGCATTGTAAATGAAGTTGGAATAATAGATTTAGAGCTCCGATCTATCTTTCCTACGAGATATTATACGATCCAAACGGATAAACACACAGCAAGATATGAGTGTCACAAATACTTAGTCTTATCTAAATGATTTAGGGTTTTCAGCGAAAATAGAGCACTTTTAGCGTAAATACAGTGTATTTTAGTAATTAGGCAATCATCCATTGATATTTTGAACCCCGCGCCTGAAGACATGTTTTAGAACTCGGTAAAATCTTTCCAACGAGATAATAAACGCTTTCAACGGCACAAAATACAGCAAGATGTGATCGCATCAAATTCTACACGAGTTCGGAGTGAAATCAGAAACATTTGTGAATATATGGTTAATCTGTAACTTTTAATTAATGCTTTGTAAATGAAGTTGGAACAATAGATTTAGAGCTCCGATCTATCTTTCCAACGAGATATAATCCGCTCCAAACGGATAAACACACAGCAAGATATGAGTGTCACAAATACTTAGCCTTATCTCTATGATTTTGCGTTTTCAGCGAAAATAAAGCACTTTTAGCGTAAATACAGTGTATTTTAGTAATTAGGCAATCATCCCTTGATATTTTTAAACCAGCGCCGGAAGACAAGTTTTAGAACTCGGTAAGATCTTTCCAACGAGATATTAAACTCTTTCAACGGCACAAAATAGAGCAAGATGTGATCACATCAAATTCTACACGAGTTCAGAGTGAAATCAGAAACATTTATGAATATATGGTTAATCTGTAACTTTTAATTAATGCATTGTAAATGAAGTTGGAATAATAGATTTAGAGCTCCGATCTATCTTTCCTACGAGATATAATACGATCCAAACGGATAAACACACAGCAAGATATGAGTGTCACAAATACTTAGCCTTATCTCTATGATTTTGCGTTTTCAGCGAAAATAGAGCACTTTTAGCGTAAATACAGTGTATTTTAGTAATTAGGAAATCATCCCTTGATATTTTTAAACCAGCGCCTGAAGACAAGTTTTAGAACTCGGTAAGATCTTTCCAACGAGATATTAAACTCTTACAACGGCACAAAATAGAGCAAGATGTGATCGCATCAAATTCTACACGAGTTCGGAGTGAAATCAGAAACATTTGTGAATATATGGTTAATCTGTAACTTTTAATTAATGCATTGTAAATGAAGTTGGAATAATAGATTTAGAGCTCCGATCTATCTTTCCTACGAGATATAATACGATCCAAACGGATAAACACACAGCAAGATATGAGTGTCACAAATACTTAGTCTTATCTAAATGATTTAGCGTTTTCAGCGAGAATAGAGCACTTTTAGCGTAAATACAGTGTATTTTAGTAATTAGGCAATCATCCGTTGATATTTTGAAACCCGCGCCTGAAGACATGTTTTAGAACTCGGTAATATCTTTCCAACGAGATAATAAACTCTTTCAACGGCACAAATAGAGCAAGATGTGATCGCATCAAATTCTACTCGAGTTTGGAGTGAAATCAGAAACATTTGTGAATATATGGTTAATCTGTAACTTTTAATTAATGCATTGTAAATGAAGTTGGAACAATAGATTTAGAGCTCCGATCTATCTTTCCAACGAGATATAATACGCTCCAAACGGATAAACACACAGCAAGATATGAGTGTCACAAATACTTAGCCTTATCTCTATGATTTTGCGTTTTCAGCGAAAATAGAGCACTTTTAGCGTAAATACAGTGTATTTTAGTAATTAGGCAATCATCCCTTGATATTTTTAAACCAGCGCCGGAAGACAAGTTTTAGAAATCGGTAAGATCTTTCCAACGAGATATTAAACTCTTTCAACGGCACAAAATAGAGCAAGATGTGATCACATCAAATTCTACACGAATTCAGAGTGAAATCAGAAACATTTATGAATATATGGTTAATCTGTAACTTTTAATTAATGCATTGTAAATGAAGTTAGAATAATAGATTTAAAGCTCCGATCTATCTTTCCTACGAGATATAATACGATCCAAACGGATAAACACACAGCATGATATGAGTGTCACAAATACTTAGCCTTATCTCTATGATTTTGCGTTTTCAGCGAAAATAGAGCACTTTTAGCGTAAATACAGTGTATTTTAGTGATTAGGCAATCATCCCTTGATAGTTTTAAACCAGCGCCTGAAGACAAGTTTTAGAACTCGGTAAGATCTTTCCAACGAGATATTAAACTCTTTCAACGGCACAAAATAGAGCAAGATGTGATCGCATCAAATTCTACACGAGTTCGGAGTGAAATCAGAAACATTTGTGAATATATGGTTAATCTGTATCTTTTAATTAATGCATTGTAAATGAAGTTGGAATAATAGATTAACCATATATTATTCGAATCACTTGCACTATTTGGCCCTTCGTTTCGCCAACAATTAATCCTTTACGATTTCCCATTCCTTCCCTGCCGAGCCGCCTCTCTTCGCCATTCGATGCTTCCGCCTTCCCTTTCTATAACATACCCAGGCGCCCTCCTTTCCCATCACTAATAAAAAAAGAAATACCAATAAAAGGGTTGGTGTGGCTAAGTAAAGCTTCGTCTATGATTTCCAGGGGAGTTGACTTGACCCATTCCCCAGTCTCCCGCACTGCTAAAGTCAGTGTGCGACTCCGAATGAGGACCTCTTTCTCTTCTGCCCACTCTCCGTTCACACGGTTCTCAAAGCAGAGGAGGAAGGGTGGGCAGCAGGTACCACGAGCCCTCTGTCCCACACATCTATCCAGAAGCAAGTGTAGTTCACCGGTTCCACCGAATGCTCCTATCTCTCGGCAAAGATCGTTTGAGTGTGCAGTTATGCTTCGGATGCTTCGCCATAGAATAGATCGACCCAGTTCCCGTTCTTTTCCGGTGCACTCGCTTTATATCTCCGACACACAAGGAAGGACGCGGTGGGAAGGAAGCAGCCCTAGCCTCTGTCCGGCCGATCATTCCGCTGGCATCTCGCATTCACGCCCCCGTTTGACTGCCGCTCGGGGATGTAGTTGTAGATAGGTTAGTCTTAGTGGGTCGTTGGCTCCACTTGTTATCTCCTTCTACGACATGCTGTTGTCGTCGCCATATTCCATATGTCACTTAGTCATCTCTGCCTCGCTGCGGGTCAGCACCTCCGAAAGAAACGGAGGACTTCATTCAGTGACCCCGCGATCGCCCTCTGAACGATCAGAATAAGGTAAAGCTTGAAGATAAGTTTTGTACTCTATTAATTTCTCAGTCCCTCTAGTCGGGTGGGTGCTGGCCGGTTTTTCGACCAGATCCCCCTTAAAACCGTACGTGCGGGTCTCCCCGCATGCGGCTCACGCCATTCGAGGTGGCCCAGCCCAGCATTCATTCGCAAATCCTGTAGTGAAATTTAGACTGCTCAACCTCGGAAGCTAATTCGCGTGTAGGCAGCGCTGTCTGTCGTACCGTTGACTCTATCTATTCATTGAATTTGCTTTATTGCATTTCGCGAGCTCTTTTTCCAAGAATTTTCCACTCCCCGTCGAATGACCCGGCCTCCCCTGGCTCTTCCACCGTCCGGGCTCCCTTTCCTCCCTATGCTATGCTCCCCCGGCGCAGGCCTACCACGCTTCGCGCCTGCGGCGTTTTCGCCAGACGGTCTTTGCCAGTAGTGCCATCCTCCCCGCTGGCTGTATGGGCGGGTTGTCCCTCGCTGCTGCATTCTGTTAGGCTATGGATTACAGGAACAAATGTAGTTGAATGGAACAGCAGGCGGGTTACACGTTCCACTGTGCCGAGATGTGAGGTGCAGGTGGTGATGATCACCCCGGGGTATGCGTTAGCGCCCTTGACAGGCACTCCAGAACCCGCCAACGCTCGTGAAACCCCGGGTCCGGTCGGTCCTCCATTCATCCGACCGGGGTTATGGATAACGAGGCCACCTTCACAACCTTCTCCCTTCTGTCCCTATGCTGTAATAAGGTAAGGCGGTTCGCTTGAGTTGCTCAACCGCCCCTTAGCCCGGTGCTCATGACGCGCTACGGAACCTCCACCGTGCCGGGGGACCAAGCAGGGCATAGCTAGCGGCATAGGAGCCGACTCGGCATCAGCGGCTTCGTGCCGCACTGGAGTGATCCAATATGTGGTTCCGCACGTTCCACCACTTCTCCGTTCATTTCCAATACTGATCGTGAAACACCATGAGCAGCAGGATGTTGAGGTCCGAAATTCGAAGTGAAATTTTTGATTTGCCTGTTCCTAATCGTCATGGGAAAGAAAGGCATAAATAAGAAATAGATTATTCCCTGAGAGCTTGTCCAATACCACCAGTACCAGAAATGCATCTCCTTCGCCCGCGCGAGAGACTTCTATGCCAGCCGGGAATCACGGCTCTGTTATGAAATAAAGCGGCAGACAGACTACCTGCCAAAAAAAAGGTAGTCTTTTATCCCAAAGCAAAAGAGAGAGCGTCTAGCGGTCTTATGAATCAATCAAACCAAAAAGAAGTTTTTGGACTATTCCCTAACAGGGTAAAATGTCCTTACATACGATATTACTTCTTACGTACTTTCTTTTTCTTTACTTACTTTATTACTTATGCAATTCTTGTTGGTCAACTGTCTCTTGATTTTCAATTCGCTGACCGCTGCCCCTTATCGCTGATGTGTGGTCTATTGCCTAAGAATGCCTAACCCCAATAAGCCAGCTTATCGAGGGAAGCTAGTCAGTCCGGTCTAATCATATAAAAAAAGTATTTGCCCAGTAGTGCTCAACAAGTAAATAAGAAGGTAGTCGAGGACTATCCTAAGTCTTACGCTTCATGATGGCATTTAGATGGCTCTGCTCTATAGCCAGAGTAGAGTAAGGGGGAAAGACTCAAGTACAGTGAAAAGAACATTGGAACTAGGGAATCCAGCTGCCATTTCGCTAGATACCAGAAAGATGGGGAGGAAAGTTCTATCCAGTTGTTGGCGCCGGCGCTAAAGCGAGGAAGGGGTGCGTCATCATTTAGTTAGCAACGGAAACTGGTTAAATTGACCTAAATACGCAGGTCTAAATAGAACACTAAAGGCTTATGCCTTCACGACGTAAGGAGCGAAAACAAAATACCCTTCGTCAGCCTTTCCATCGATAGAGACATCGCCCGACCAAATACAATGTCCCAAAACGATCTAGTCAGCCTGCAGGCAACTGCTATAGATGACGCGCCTACCATGACCAGTTCAAGAGGAAGGTCACAGTAAGGGGAGAGAACACCCGGACTGTCTACTCTTATGTGTGTGGCCATGGGCTTTCCCTTCATATCACAGCCGTAAAGTCTATAAGGATAAAGTATTGGCTAAGCACCTTTGGGCGGGCCCCCTCTTAGTTAAATTTCGCTCGAAAGAAATGTGAATCTGTCTTCCCTTCATTTTTAATTCACTTATCTTCTCTTCTTCTTCGATTCCTTTCCATTAATAAAGGAGGAAATACTAGATATAGACTAAATCGGAATGAAGAAGATATGAATGGAACCTAAAAACAACCAACCACCTATAGGACTGCGATAACGTCCATCCCTATGGAAATTTTCTCGAACTCGGAGTAGCTCTTTATATATTTTAGATTATGTGGCATTGAGGTCATGGAGCTTTCTTTCTAAGACATCCACTTTGACCCGGGGAGGCAGAAGGTAATCACGAATTAGTGTGTTTTCCCGTTTCCCCCATTCGATTCAAAATACGTCGCTTTAGATCAAGAATTCTATTGATTTCCTCATCGGAGACATTGCTCGCCCCTGGACCCTGTCGATACACAAAAAACCTATTCCTGATTACATATTTGACTGATTCCATATCAGGTTCCGCTGGCTGAATAGCCGGAAGCGGATTAGCAGCAGCAGCAAAACAAAAGACGGTTGAATCTTGGTAGTTGTGGTCGTGACAGGCACTCGGGCTGACAGCCATCTTAGTGAGGTAGTCTATTTCGTTGAAGTAGCGGGTCTCCCCCATCTGGTACTTCTCGTTCTAGTAAACGAAGGAACAATCTTTCTAGGAATAACCTTTTCTGTAGTTGGACTACCAGGATTATTCAATAGTAGTAGGTTCACCTCTAATACTAATAAGAAAAGGGCTTCCCCTTAGACCTTTAGACCTGACCAAGAGAAGTCACACCGGTAGCCCTCAGAAAGAAAGGTCCCTCGAGCTTTATTAGTAGTTACACGAGTGCTCAGATCAATACCGAAACACATATGGAGTGCCTGGCCTGGACCACAAAGAAAGAGCACAAGCAGGACTCCCTGCACCCGCGTGAGGGATGACTTTGAATCCATACCGAAGAGAATGGACGACTTGAAAAGGTCTCCATAGACAAAGAGACGATCTACACCGAAACAGAGAAAATACATTAGGAGCACTCATTCCTTGTACCCGGGGAACTTATGAATAAGGAAGGGGATCTACACCAGAAAAGGAGTTGACTCCCATATAGACACTTTCACTCACATTGCTTTAGGCAGTACTCTTCTTACTAAAGAAGAATACTTCCTTAAATAGGGAGCAAATCCGTCACTGGACGAGGAAGGAAAGGAAGATCTGTACAATAAAGTAGATTAGAAAGCGTTAACAAGACTATCAGACCAAGAACAGAACTGCTGGAGGAACAACTACCTAAGGCTTAAAATGACATAGAATAAGTGGAATCTCATGCAAACTGTGAGGGAGGTGGTTAACCGGTGCTTAGAGAACTACCTGGGATGCTTTACAAGCGATAGACCAAAATCAATTACATATTCTAAATGAATCTAATCCCATCCCCTACGGACAAGGGTGAATACCCGTAAGTGAGTTCGCGCAGGAGTTTCTTGCTCTGATTCTGTAGCGGGAGTTTCCTTGTGTTGTGGAGTTGTGTGGTAAGCTTTTCGGCTTCCATCCACTGGCGACCTCAAAGCATTATTTTAAGCGCATTCCTTGTCCTTTAGCCTTATAATCGTAATCGGCCTTAAAAAGAAAGTAATAAAGAGTTCAGGGCTTAGAAGATGCAAAGCTTTCATCCGCATTCCGTCTGTGTTATAAATAAAAGTCTTCCATTAGATAAGTTTCCATCTTCTTTTTCTTAAAGAATAGGAGCGAGACTTTCATAGTGAAGGGAGAGGCGAAGCCTAGTAACACAGCATCATGGTTTAGCCTAGCCCTTACAAGCAGTTCACCGCTTTCACATGGCAGAACCCATCACAGCACAGGGAGTCTGGCGCCCCTATACACTCATATCTCGACTTGACAACCAAAATTGCTTCAAAATGTCAATTTGTAGATCGATGGTGGGGATGAGCCCATGTGTACGCCTAACCTTCGGCCACCCCTAAATGGCACTAATAAGCACACAAGACACATAGGTCTAGGGATGCCTGTTTGACTAGGCGCGATAGAATACTCAACCAAGCATTCAGCTCGATGGATTACTCCCGCACCAGATAGTTCTCAGCCGCAAGGTTGCCGGCATGCCCCAATGATAAGGTACTCTCAAATCGAATATCTCGTGGCACCACATCTTTAGACAAAGGGCAGGTTTAGCTATAGCCCAGTCAACTGTTGGAGGCAAAGACAAAGAAAAAACGGAAAAGCCGAGTACACTGCATCTCCAGTGAACCATCCTACTAAGGTTTCACGAAGTAAACACATACGTTTCACAGCTAGGGACCATGTTCAGTCCATGCCAATAAACAACAGGAGCTCGCGGTCTATCAGCACTTTAAGGGCTACACAATGGAGATCGGATCGGCCTCGTATGGAGGGCTCCCCGAATACCTTTTCCTTTGGACCTAGCCTATCGATCAAAAATCCTACGCTAGCATGCCTACCGCACTACCGCCCCCACTCTCTACTATTGGTGGCTAATGGGTCCCTTCTCTCGCGTATCCTGTCTTTTCGGATCGGCACCTGGCCTCCCATTTCTTATGAGACGGCAAACGAATAACTTCTCTTTATCCGGGTATTGAATTGCGCGAAGAGTTTGAGGCCCGGTAAGGGGATAGCGGGTCAATGCCTTCTGCTCTTTCCGGTAAGTGAGTAGGGCCAGTCCCACACGATTAGCATAGATAAGACAAGTCAGGTAGGATTGGTCGGAGAAGGATGAAAAACCTTGTGTGAAGGAAAGGCTGTTTCAGTTGCTGTTTACGCGCTTCACTCACTAGGAGAAGAAGTCAGGAAAGTCCCTACTATACTTGTCTAAAAGACGAAAAGATGGATGAGCCACTCTCTCCATCCGACTCAGCTTAGCCTTTACCTGGGCACCTTGCCTTCTTTCCTTGCTTTGGTGCTAGCGTATATAAAGTAGTAGACCCCGGCTCCTTTTAGCTTTCTGTGGTATGGCTCTTATAACTCTTAGTAGCTGTTCTCTCCTTCCCTTTCCTTATTCCTTATCCTTAAGGAATTGGATATAGAACCGTTAGGAGTAGGAGCATTCGTTAACAGAGATGGATTGGCTTCGGTTGACCTTCTTACTATGGGAATGCTTGAAAAAGCTCTTATTCCAATAAGCTCGTGACTACTCTAAGAGGTAGCTGGGGACAAAAGGAATAAGTGCTCAAAGCGTTGATCAGCTGCTCTATTGGACTTATTTCCTTGGCGAGAAGGGTTAGCAGGGAAAGCAGCCTTGTTGTTGATTAAAGTAAAGGACCAGGGGTCTAGCGCTTTTGTTTTGTGGGAAGATACTTTAGTCATTGATATCCATATTCAAATACCTAATGATTTACAAGCCTGCGGTTCGCACCCTGCAGCCCCATTTTAGAAGTGCGTTTGAACAATACCTCTTGGTACTTATCCTTTAATAAAGGCTCGAGAGACCTACTTGCCACGTGGCAAGAGGCCATTAGCCAAAAAAACTGTGCTAAGATCTCAAAAGAAAGAAGAGTATTCGAATCCGGGTCCCCTATGATACTTGGCACGAAGCCATGGGTCCTAAGGGAGATTGGAAGAGAAATCCGATCCCCACTCTCTCAAATAAATACGAAGGCATAAAATGGTATATATAACCCTCACATATAGATGCGCACAGGTTTTTTTTACAAACGACTTCACACTTGGAGCTTTGAAGAGGCACTCAAGTGCTTGAAGGAGAAAAAAGAGAAGCCCATACTGTTGGAGTGCTAGGC